GGCTGTTGTTATCAAATCTCTATTCCTTATGTACATTTTGACACAATCTGATTGCCTGTCTCAAAAGATATTCTTCAAGATGTTTTCTCTCTCATCCATTTTTTTCCATCCTCTTTTCTCACCCAAACCCAGATCCTGGAGTTTTGTTTTGTTTTGCTTTGTTTTTTTTTCGCGGGGAGGGGGAGGTTGTGGTTGCCAGCGATGATAGACATTTTGTCTGTCAAAATCAGACATTAGAACTTGTTAATTAGAAAATAAATCACAGTTCTGGTATCTTCAGCCAGGATCAATATCCTGTTGAACTAAACTGGAGGCTAATAGATTGTGGCTAAAATGGCTTGTTTTATTGTTCCAGAAAGCACTCACTCAGTTCCTTACCACAAAAATGCTGTGCTCAAATGTTTCTCATTTACTTTTAGGGAAGCCTGCTGATTTGCTTTTAATGGTAGCAAAGGAAACAAATGTATTTCTGCTCTCCAAAAGATTTTCTTTCCTCTTTCTTTTCTTTTTCTTTTCTCTTTTTTGGGAGGTCGGGGAAGGGGATGTGAGGTTGGGGATGTACCAGTATTTATTTTAAACACTTCCAGTTCCAGATGAGTAAAAGGGAAAGTTATATTGTTGTGATGTTTGTTGCTAGCTTATGTAGAACCATAAGTGTTTTTAATGATGTTTGCTTTTATTTTCATATTTTTATTGGCTTGCATTTAACTCTAGTGACATTACTTCCCATTAGCGGTTGCTAACTGCAAGAAATGCAATTGTCCAACTGGGCTGGAACTGGATACGTTTGTTAGCACTCAAAAAGTGTAGCCCAGGTCCACCTGTATGTCTGTATTGTACCTTGTGATGGCAATGAAATGCTGCCAATTAATGTAATGCAGTCGTATTAGTCCAGGAGCTAAGGTTAAGGGACCTGGCCCTTAAATAACTGAAGTTAGTAGAAATGTTCTGTTGACATCAGTGGGCTTTGGATTAGGCACTCGGTGAGAGAGGCATGGTAAAGGTCCTCTGTTCTTTGTAAGGAATATTTTGCTGAACATACTGCAGTTCCTTGCAATAAATAATAAGCATTAAGTGATGGCCATCACATTAGTGCATTAGTGTTGGGGCTTGCTTACAAAGTTAAGCTGCAAGTACTAAAAGGAAATGTAGTCAGACTAGCTTTAAAGATGTCATCATAACAGGGTCTACTGAACTTGAAGCAGCAGCCAGCTGATTTCATGGACAGATCCCGGGGCTGGCACCCATTTTTATGGACTAAGTGTGGCCTCCCCCCATGCTGCTGATTGGCTACAGGGACCTGGTGCCCCCTTCCTGCCCCTACTGATTGGCTATGAGGGCTGTCCATCATATGACTCTGCCTCTTGCCACTGATTGGCTGTAAGGGCTGTCCTTCATCAAGCCTCAAACTTTGCTGCCAATTGGTGGAGAGGGGCAGGGCTGTATGATGGATAAAATTGTAGCCAATCAGCAGCAAGGGGCTGGGCTGCCAGCCACCTTGCTATGGTGGCAGCCCCCCTCTCCCCTTTCCACCCCCGCCCCCAGCAGGCTGGGTGGCTGGGCGGCAGTGGCCACAAGGACTGCTGGCTCCCCAAAGGGAGCCAGCATTTTATTTTTGGTACGTATTATTATTATTTTTTTTTTAGGGAGCCCACCAAAAGCACAGAACCTGCACTTTTTTCGTAGAGCTCACCCGAAATTGTGGTTTCCGTAAAAATTGCACCATCATGAATTCGGTAGGTTCCTAGTCATTATAGCTATTTTGCGTAACATAATGTAACCAATATAGGGCAATAGGACTGCACACATCTGAACAGTTCACCT